TTTATTAAGTAGTACATAGACATACATAAATTTACTTAAAGAAATCCGTGATTTTACTTTGAGTACGATTAATTAAAGCGTTCTTTTCGATCATGTCTTCGATATCATAATATGAATTATACTCTGTAAAATTCTCTTCCAAATACTTGCGAACTATTGAAAGATGCATCAGTGCATCTTTATGAGAGACACCTGGTATCGGTTCATCAACAATTCCGGCTTCTTCTTCGTCTTCTTCTTCTAAAATATATATTACCTTTTGGATGAATGAATATCTGATCCCTTTATTGAAGAAACAGCAAGTATATATACGTAGGAGCGAGACAATAGATGGACTAGAGAAAAAGTCGAGAAGCTTCGTCCGACGGTTTAGAAAATGAATAATAGACAGAAAAAGACAATGGTTCTTCTTATTCAACCAAGACGTCAGTTAGGAAAAGTGAGTAAGACGAAAAAGAAAAGAACAAGAACATACAATATGGCTCTTTTATGCGGACTCAAATCGCAAAAAAGGGCCAAAACAAAGCTCTTATAAGCGAACCGCTCCTTTATCCGAAGCTCTCATAAGCGGACTTTGCCAGCACGTAAAACACAGGAGAAAAAAACGGGGAATTGGAAAACGGCTCTTAAAAGCGGACTGCTCCTTTATCCGGAGTTCTTATAAGTGGACTCGACTGTATTTCTAATTCATTCGAATATATTTCATTGGATTTCTCTTGCAAAATCTTTCATATTATCGAGTAATCAATTAATAATTACGAAATTATTTATTTATTGTAAATAATATAAAAAGATTTTTATTTTTCAATTGATCTCTAGTATCGAAATACATTGTGATTTTCTTTGAACTTGACAAGTCTGTTCTTAAAGTTATAGAATAACATGTTTAGGCATCATATTTTTATTACAATATCGTTTTTTTTTCTGTTAGTTAATCAATAAGATATAATAGTATAAAAATTTAGATTTCAATTCAATCTTGCTAAAGATAATTTTTTTTTTTTAACAAATAATCTTAATTTGATGTTGACCATCCAACAAATGTTCCATCATCTGTTCGTTGTACAGTTCGTACTTCAACAATAGCTTTACGATCAATAGGACCATAGATATGTGGAAAAAGTGAATCGAATTCTGATGCTTTTTCCCATTTAACAGGTGATGATGGATCTTGTAATTTCATTGTATCAATAACAAGTAAAACATAATCACCAGAAACATTTTTATAAAACTGATTAGCTACTTTAATCATAAGTTCATCACCAGATGTACAATGAATAAAACCATCTTTGTCATATTCAGCTGGTAAATAAGGTTTATCTTCTGGCCACGAATACCATCTTGTAGCAGGTGCAAGATGATAGATAAGACTCATTTTGCCACGTATACGTTCTTTCTGTCTTTCTTTATGAATGATATAGAAAATAAAAAACAAAGACAAAGATAAATCCAATAAGAAGAAAAGGAAAATATGGATTTTGATTATTTATATAATGTAGTCGCCAGTTCTTGGCAAATGAAAAAAAAAACAATTCAACTGAAAAATTTATATCAAACATCTTGTTCAAGATTTTTTTATTCTCTAACTAAATAAATTATTCATCATTATACATTATCATTTTGTTCGAATCTTATGCTTAGTAAGAAGATTTCGTTGTTTGCCAATAAAAACAAGTTTTTAATAATATGTAAAATAAATCAATGGCAATAGCAACAGTTACAGAGAGATATATAATGTCCGAATTGAAGATATTTATGAACGAACATCAACAATTAAGTCTCTAAAATGTTTTTATTTTACTTCATGCTCACGTTTTCTTTCTATTGATATTGAATATGCATTCAGTCTGGAATATGTCAATATAGAAAAAAAGAATTTTTCAAATGCATATGATTGTTATTTGAGTTTTTGTCAGAATTTTCCTATGAAGTCGTTTTGATTTCGATTGTTATCAAACGACTACAAATATGACATAGCCTTTTGTGTAGAGACAGTACTCTATGTCAAGTATATTGATATATGACTTCAGTTTTCTTTTGGATAACATCACTATAATATTTGCCATTGAAATGAAGTTCTATCAATTGTTTATTGATATCGTGGTATATGCTCAAACGCGCATCAGAACTCGGACCTATATCCACACTCATATACCCATTTAATCATATCCATATCTGCACTGGTACCTATCCAGTCATGATAGAAAGATAAAAGAGAAAAAAATAATGAATTCTTTTATTCTATTCGATTGTTCTCTGATGATTTATTCCATGTTGGTTGTAAAACATCCGATCTATTCACATAAATACATTGTAGTGTCTATATAGGAAGAAATATAAACATCAGAGAGAGAGGAAGAGTATGATGCTCACCTTGTTATTTTTTAAAACATCAACAAGATGTTGTATTCCGTTGTTACCTATTGGATTGAGCCGAAGATTCAGTGAGATGATTGCCGTATTATTTTGTAATGCATTAGCGATATGTTGTGTACCGTTTTCACTGATTTTATTTTTGTAAACGTCCAATGTAGTGAGTGTCTACATGTACAAGATAACATGAGTATGGTAGAGATGAACAACTAATAAGGATTACTATATTATGTCGTAAAGCATCAGCAAGATGTTGTGCTCCATCGTCTCCAATTTCATTCGATCGAAGGTTTAGTGTAGTGAGTGTCTGTATATAGAAAATAAAAATATAAAAAAAAATACTGCCAAAAGAGGATCACTTTATTATTTCGTAATGCATCAGCGAGATATTTTGCTCCTTTGTTTCCGATTTGATTATTGTAGAGGGTGAGCGTAAGAAGTATCTAGATATAGAGAAAAGGAGGTTCGATATGAAAGAGATCAGAGTAGAATAAAGATCACCATATTGTTTCTTAAGGCATCAGCAAGATGTTGTACACCTTTTTCACTGATTCGATGTTTGTAAATGGTGAGTGTCTGTAAATATCAGATATGAATATGTAAATAAATCGAGAATGAAAAAGGTCACCTTTTCATCGCGAATTTTGACAGCTGCTTCAACAGCTACACAATATCCACTGGCATCGTCATTAAGATTGAGTGTAGTGAGTGTCTGTGTATAAGGAAGATAGATACGAGATAGTTTACAAAGGAAAGAACGTTACTGTGTTTTTTTGTAGGGCATCAGCGAAATATTGTGCTCCTTTTTCTCCGATTGGATTTTTGTGAAGGTTCAATGTGGTAAGTATCTAAATGTAGAAAAGCAAGATGTATATGATATAAATTAGCAATGAATAATGATAAATAACCCTGTTATGTCGTAGCGCATTAGCAAGATGTTGTGCGCCATGGTCTCCAATGACATTATATGAGAGATTCAGCGTAGTAAGTGTCTGTGAATAGAGAAGATAAACATGAGACAAAATAAAAGAAAGATAGAAGGTTACCGTGTTATGAAGTAAGGTATTAGCAAGATGTTGTGCTCCCTTATCTCCAATTTGATTACTGCTAAGGTCCAATGTTATGAGAGACTATGTATAGAATGGAAATCAAATATGAGAAACATAAAAAGATAATGAATTGTACTGTGTCATCATGTAATACATCAGCAAGATGGTGTGTCTCGTTGTTTGTGATTTGATAATTCGGTAGAAATAGTGTGATAGGTGTCTATAAGGAAAAATACATATGAATTGATCAAGTTATTTTGTTACTAAAGCGCGAATGATAAATCCACTATTTAAAACAATAGACTTAAGTGATGAAAAGCTCTCATACCAGTGTCAATACATATTGCTAAAAGTAAACAATTTTCTTTAATCGTCAAACCTCCTCAGCGATGCCATCCGACATTGTATGTACCAATCGTCGAGTAAAACGATGAACACCGTCTATGGACGATATTTTACATCTGACTGAGTCTATCAATTCAGTTGTTTTGACCGGCGTGGTATATATTCTAATGGTGTGGGATCGAAATTCATAATCACAAGTGAGAAACCAATGTTTCTTTTCGAGCCAGAATGGTGTTCGAAATGAGCAAATCAAAGATGCGAGCCTAGTACAACTATTATTCCTCCAAACAGGATCAGTATTTGAAAAGAAAAATTCGAATTGATCCAAGACAGGTAATTTAGTTTTAATCAATTGTTCCCAATGATAGCCATCCGGAAAAAAGTCTAACTGTCGTCCATTAAATCTGAGTTTCAAATGAGCAAGTGTAGGTGTTAGTGGAAGTAGCTTTTCCAATTGTTTCATAGGCAGTGAACACTCCGTGATTGTCAAGGACTTCAAGAGTGGATATGGTAAGGAAGCAGGTAATGAGAGAGTTCTTTCATCCCCATTACCCATGGTACAGTTTTCCATTACAAAAGTTTGTAAACAAGGCCAATGATGAAGAATAGCGAGGTAATGACTGAAAGTGCAGGTGCCAACGCTCAGGTGTTTCAATTCGTAATGAATTGGCCATGTTATACTTTCCATCGTAGCATTTAAATTATTTAAAACTGACAGTATTCGAAGCTTTGATTGAGCAACTGTTGATAAAATAAGAGTCCATGCTTTTGTATGATTCCATTCCTTCGATTTAACTGAAAGTGAAACCAAAAAGTTAGATGTTAATTGTTGAAGAAAATACTGTAATTCTGTGTCATTGACATGATGAAGAGTCAATGAACGAAGTCGAGTAAAGTGACAAGCGTGAAATCTTGAAAATAATGAATTGATTTCATTACATTTCATGCGATCATTGATGATGATCAACGAGATGACATTTTCGGGTCGAATGACATTATAAATTGTATTAAAATGAGATTGTGACAATGAATTATACTTCACTTGAAACCTGTCATAAGTGTCGGAAATAGCATAGAATTGCTTACAGACATGACGAACCGAAAAAACAATTGTATGGATATCACAATGATCCAAAATACGATGCAGTAGTTCTACAGGCAAGCTAAGTAAAAACATATTGACTTTGAATATTAGAACTAAATAAACAGGCAACAGTCATTATTCTTTCCTTCTGTTGTGCAATACTCAACAGGAGCAACTGCAACCATATTGCTTTCCTTTCACTCATACGTTGCTTCACAAGACAATACGTCGTCTTCACGTGTCGTTAAAACATAAGTGACTCACAAAAATAATGCTATATATGAAAATTTGTTGCCGATCGAATGAATTAGAGTTTCCGTTCAATAATTAACTTCATCTTTCTTATTTAAGATTTTGTTTTACAAGAATAGAGCACATCATTGTGTATTCACATGCTTGTCAAACTTATATTGATTACCAATGAATCCCAAACTTTTACGTGAGATAATTTTAAAAAAAGTAAAGAAGGTAACCTTGTTCATTTCTCTCAGATGAGAAGAGTGAAAATTTGAAAGAGAGATATGAAACTTTGCTGCTTAGTGGATTGATTTTGCTGGCTAAATACTTTCATGTGCATTGAATATGTCTCTTTTTTATCATCTTCCATTCTTATTTTTCTTCATATTCTTTTTTTGCTTTTCTTTCATTTTTCTTTCCGCTCTGTATTTTTGAAAGTGTCATACCGTAAGCTACTATCTTATCAATCAAGTTGTAGTGATGTTGCTCTAGGTTTTTTCTTGCTGTGATTCTTAATTTTTCTTTCTCTTCTATATGTCTATATAAGCGCTTTGAAGCGTAACAGTAAATAGCTAAATCAAAAAAAAAACGTTCACTTTACTTTTGCGCATTAACCATCAATTTGGAAATCTTCATAATCAACGAAGTGATCTGTATTCTTGATATAGAACAAATTCAAGTTAGCCTATGTGATTTGTCAAGATCAATTCTTGCTTGATCATTTATATATTGTTAGTACTCTTATAAATATTGATACTTATATAAGATGATGAGAGATTTCGATAAAAGCTCTCGATTGTTATTAACAAGTATATCAACAATGCATTGATAGAAATGATTTAGACATTGCTGTCATTCATCTCATTCAAGAGACAATACTTTTTTTCTCAAACCATACTTTGAATTTTTCAAGCATGAAAGCAATCTCTATTTAAAGACAAAAACCGACTCCTTTATTTTCATGAATTTTTTTTCTAAAATAAAATAATTAAACTGAAATTCATAATTCATTACAATTACAGAGATTTTCTTTCGTTTCATTTTAGGGTGTGGGGTGTGGGTGTGAGTGTGGGTAGGTGTGGGTGTAGGTGTGGGTGTAGGGTGTGGGGTGTGGGTGTGGGTGGGTGTGGGTGTGTGGGTGTGTATGTGGATGTGGGTGCGTGTGGGTGGGTGTGTCTGCAGGGTATGGCTGTGGAGGATGTGTGTGGATGGACGGGTGTGGGCGTGAGTGTGTGGGCAAGGGAGAGTGTGGATGTTGGTGTGAAGTTCGAAAAGCCTCACACCCAC